GCTTCTTCTCGAAGGGCTTCAACCCCGCTGTGCCGGAGTTTACGCCGCCGCGTCTGGCGCCTGCTAGCAGCTTCTCCAACTCGAACGCGAATCCGAATCCGAACCCGATATTCTCGTACCGTGACGAGGACTTCGTGTCACCGCCGACTACGGCGAAGGAAGTGCCGGTTGTGAAGCATATTGAGGATACGGATGATGATAGCGCGCCTGTAGGTGGCCGAGCGAGCTTCTTGCGGGATAACCGAGGGGGTAAGAAGGGCCGGTTCAACGATCGGGACGACGGTGATGATGTTCCGCTGTTCGCACCTAGCCCTGGTCCTCTGATGAAGCAGATGGAGGCGGAGAAGGAGCGGAAGGAGAAGGAAACGCTCTTGAGCCCACCTGCATCCTCGCCAACAACGGCAGCTGATCCTGCTGATCAAATATCCAAGGACGAGGAGGAATCCGACGCTTCAGGGTCGCATGGTATCATGGAGAGCTATGTTGGAAATCCCGAGGAGACGCAGCGGGAGGTCCGCAAGGAAGATAAATTCCTCTTCCGCATCTCTGCGGACGCGACCAGCTTTGCGGAAGCTTGCCCGCCGGGTGCTAGCGAGGACTTCAACCGCGCCCCAAGCACTGACTCGTTCAGCGTCGCCGCCGGTCCTGGCCTTCAGTACTCTAGCGATCCGACGGCAGGCCAGTCGCTGGCGGGACGCAAGGGACGCGACGCGGAGGAGACATTAACTATCAAGAGGGAGATCTTGTTCGATCCTGAGGCTGCTGAGTTCAAATTCGCCGGAGATGTCGACTATCCAGAGGTTGTTTTCGAAAAGTCAGACGCCCTGAGTGCAGGATCCGCACCTGCGGCGACTACGACCCGGCAGCCGATGCCGACAGCTCAGGAATTAAACGATACTTTCAACTTTATGTTCACCCACGAGAACGAGAGCCAGGACATCGACGATTACGAGGGTCTGCAACCTGAGGAGGAAGACGAGGATGGTCTCCAGCGGGAAGTCGAACTCGAGCCGCCCGTCGAGGCCGTCGCCGCGTCGTCGTCCAGCGAGGGTATCCAGCCTGCGCCGGCGCTTCCCTCCTACATCTCGCCACCTGAAAAGGCCAAACTTGCCCTGCAAGCTGAGCGGAAGACCGAACGAAGCGGCGCCCCGAGTCCCAGCCCTGCACATGCCCCGCCCGTCGTCCTATCAGCCGCCCAGGAGCGCGGCATCCCCACCATCGACACTTTGGAGCCCGATAGCGACTGGGATTCTCTGCTGCCCGACAACGACACGCAAGACTCGAAATTGCGAAGCCGCGCACCGTTCTTCGACACGCAGGTTGAGAGCCTTGTCGGCGGCGCTATCGAGAAGCGGCTTGATCCGCTGGAGAAGAGCCTCAATGCTATCCACACTGTGCTTCAGGACTTCACACCGTTCAGACGACGTCTGGCCAGACGACAGAGCGCTGCTTTGAGCGATGCTGACGACGAGGAAGATGGCGATGAGGAGCCCCCGCGGAGTCCTGGCAAGAGGAAGGAAGATAAACGGCTTGAACGGATTAAGAGCATTGTTCTGGATGCTCTTGCGAGTAGAGAAGCAACAGTCGCCAAACCGGAACCACAGCCTCAGGCTCAGTCGATTGTCAATATCAGTGAGATTAGGGAGATGATGACTGCATTCCTCCAGGCTCAGAAGGAACAGGAGACGAAGGCTGCGGAACGCGCGCTTAGAGAGCAGGAAGCCAAAGCGGCGGAGCGTGCAGTTAAGAAGGAGGAAGACGATGAGGCGGCGGCGAACGTCGAGGTTCTGCAGATGAGGATCCTGGCACTCGAGAAGACGCTCGAGGACAGCCGCAAGACTTCCGAGCAGGATGTTTCGATTAAGCGCGCTCTGCAGGATACTGTCTACGATCTGGAGCGGCGGCTGCAGGATGCCCAAGCGAAGGAAGCGGAGGCGAAAGAGCGGGCGGAGGAGACTGGACGGAAGTTCCGCGAGTTCGAAGAGAAGCGCAACAAGACTATCACGCAGGCTCAGATGCGTGCGGCGCTCCTCGAAGGCGCCCACTCGAGTCTGCAGAAATCCGTTGGTGATCTCACGGTCCAGAAGGCCACACTGGAAGGCCAGCTTGCCGAGGCCCGAGCCAAGAATGAGAGAGTCACCACCGAGATGGAGGCCGCCGTCGCCGACGCGAACGAGCTGCGTCGATCTATCCCCATTCTCGAGGCTAGCCTCGCAGAGTCTCGAAGACTGCACGACGGTAGCAACAGCCAGCTCAAGGACCTGCAGAAGCAAGTCATCACAGCCGCCTCTGAGATCGAGAACAAGTCAGCCAAATGGCGAGACCGCATCGACGCCCAGAAGAACCGCATCCAGACGCTCGAAACCCGTCTCGAAACCGAATTCCGGATGAGAGAGAGCATGGAGAAGGAGATGAAGAGGCTGGAGCAGGAAGAGAAGGCGGCAATCCGGCTCCGCATTGAACTCGACCACGTTCTCAAGATGAAGGAGCAGCTCGAATCCGACATGGTCAGACTCAAGGCTGAAGAGCAAGAGGCCATGAGGCTACGCATCGAGGTCGAGCAGGTCCAGCGTGACAACAAGAAGATGGAAGCCCTCAACGACCGCCTCCGCGCCGAGGTGATCGAGAAGGAGCGTGCGGTATTCAGCGAACGCGAGGCTAAGAACCAGGAACTCCTCCGCGTGACGATGTCCTTGCAGGGCCAGATCGAGGCTGCCCGAGCCGACACCGAGGCCGTCCGAGCGAATCTCGACGCTGAGATGAGTAAGATCGTGATGGAATCGCAAAACGCCAAGGAGCAACTCAAGATCATGCACCACAACGCCGTCGACTCGAAGGATGCGTTCATCCGCGAGATGAAGACGTCGCATGAGGTCGCCATACAGCACGAAGCACACTTGTACACCGCCAAGCTCGAGGACCAGCACCAGCGATACGAGAATACCATCGCCAGCCTCAACAAACAGCACCAGTGGCATATCAAGACCGCGGTTGAAGATCTAGAACGGGAGAAGCAGTTCTTGAAGGAGTCGATGGAGGTTCTGCAAGGGCAGCAGGGTATCTATATGGAGAAGATTGAATTGCTGGAGAGTCAGCTTGACATTGCGAGGAAGGCTGCACAAGCGGCTGCTCAGGCTGCGCAGAGCGCGAAGAATCCGGCTGCTCCCGTCGAACATAAGAGTCCTCCGGCTCTTACCGCTGTTGTTGCCGACAAGCATTCTACACAAGCCCTCCGCGAATCCCTTGCGGTGCTACAGGAGCAGCTTCAGGCACGGGAGGCGACGATCGAGGAGCTGGAAGAGCAGATCGCGAAGTTCGATCGGACGCCAGCAGCGAAGGAAGTTGAGCATGAGAATGTGTTTTTGCGAGAGCTGCTCAGCGTCCGCATTGGTGAGCTTGACGAGATTGTCCGACAGCTTGGCAAGCCGCAGTTCGACAAGGTTGCTGTCCGGAATACCGCCATCCGGCTGAAGGCCAATCTCGAGATGGAGCAGCAGGAGCGCGAACGCAGCGCTGCTGTGACCGCGTCTACCGAACAGGCGGCGCCCGCTACCACTGTCAGCAGCCTTTATGGTCTAGCGAACCGTGGACTGAGCGGCGCGCTTGGAGGTCTCAGGAAGGGGAAGGCGAGATATGACGATCCGGGGTACGTCTCCGTCTCAGCGGGAGCCCCGATGTCTCGGGATACCTCCGTCCAAGGCAGTGTTCAGCAGACGCCATCTCGCCCTACCTCGCGCCAGAACTTTCTCACCGGACTCCTCACACCGCCGATATCTCTGAGCAAGCCTGCGAATCTCATCGCGACGACCAGATTCCCCATCCTCACGCGACCCACCACTGGTGAATCTTCTCGGCCGCGGCAGCGAGCACCCAGCCACGCTAGCCAGAGCCAGAGCCAGAGCCAGAGCCAGAGGAGCAGTGGCAGCAACTTTATGTACGACGACGACGCCGTGGATAATGTCGCCACGGGTATGCCGTCGCAGCCGTACTTTGAGGATACCCTCACCGACGACAATAGGCGAGAGGAGAGCCCGTTGAATATAGAGAGCATCATGGACGATGATGATGACGATGATGATGCTGGGGTGCCGGGGTTTGCGAAGGAGAGTCAGTTTAGAAGGAGTGAGTGGACAGATTGATCGACGATGCATCACTGATACCCGCGCAAACGCGGCGTCTACACAATTTTTCCTTTGTTGAGTTTCTTTTGTCATTGTTCGATCTGTTTACTGCCATATTTCGTCATTTTTGTTATTTTGTTACTTGCCGTTCTGGCAACTGGACTAATTGCTAATGCTCGAGTTGATCTTGCTGCGAGTTTGGATTTTGTGGTGTTGATTTTGATCTCGATCTCGTTCGTTCGCCAAAAGGTGGTCTTTATTTTCGCATTGCTTTAGCGGTCTCAAAACTCCCCAAATTTGGTTTATAGTACAGTACATGGTTTGCTTTGATTTTCTATCATTTTCCGCATCTGAAATCTTGCAAGCTCCCTAATATTTCCGTTTAATTTTTTCGCTTCGGCTAGTACATATTTTACCTGATCTTACCATTACTGTTCTGAAATTGCTGCTTGCGAATATTTTTTTATAATTTTTCTTCAATTCCTTGTATTTATTCGTTTGGTTCGATACGATACATGACGAATTTACTTGCATTTTCATACACACGGTTATCTGGTAATGTATTCGCCTTGGATCCCGTTACGCGTATACGTAGTATAAATTTTAAATTGATTTGACATAACATTTTGCGGGATTGATTAATATAATATTCATCCACACAAATTGCAATATCAGAATACCGTTGTCTACAGCAGACTAGCAATCAACAGAAGGGTGTCAGGACCTAGTACTTCTGAATTTTCGTAGCTTGGGAAATGTAAAAATCGAATTCCGTAGACGAATCTACAAGCCAACGCGTCGATCGAAGTTCATCCAAAAAAAGATAGTACCCTGTAGAAGAGAACCGAGATCGGCTAGAACCACCAAATGCAAAAAGATTGACTTCATTGAGGATCGAACTCAAGACCTCGACCGGACTAACGTCGAGAAAGACGCTTGTTAAGGTCGCGTGATAACCAACTACACCATGAAGCCATGTTGGACTTTGCCAAAAATGCGTATATGAGATTAGGAAAACTGGCGCACATGCTGTGAGCGTCCCTGAGACTATACAACTGAATTTTGACACGGGTTCTTTCCGGCTAGTATCTCGAGTGGTAGAATAGTTTTTGTACTTTGGCCATGAGGACATCAGATATCAATCTGGCTGAGAATCTATGTGAACGAAAGCTGCGGCTACGACGACCCTGGTTCCGAATTCCCCGGGCCCAAGATCTACCGGTAGCAGCCTGTGAACCCAGAAGGCGTCACGTCGGGATATGGCACTGGAAGATAAATCCCCAAGGGTAATTTATATCTATATAGGTACCTATCCATTCGGCAGAAATTTCTCGAGAACCTGTTGTAATTTGCTGTCGGTACCGGTTCGACAGCTCTCTATCTCAACACATCGGAATTGAAATGGCATAAACAGACTAGATCTAGACGACGCGGAGAGAGTCTATCCTGATAGTGCCTGTCCAGCTAATTACCTGGTCATTTTTATAAGATTAACATTTAAACTATCCAAATAACCAACAAGTCTCCTGTGCAAATTGCATGCCTCGTGGATTTATCGATCAATAGGAGCAGCTAGTTCCGCTGTCGAGGATCCAACATCGCCTCTATGATATCACTCTATTGCAATCATTGTAACAGTTTCAGTTAAGAAAATTCTTCTATCTTGCCGGTATAGCTAACATACATACTATGTTATGAGGCCGGGTTACGTCATCTGGCCATAAGAACTAAGCTTCAACTCTTATATTCACTCCTTCGTAAATAGGTTTATTAATTGATTGATATTTGTATACGAGCTAAACCAATATTGGCTTATTGCTAATATGTAAATCTGGATGTGAATACTCGAAGACCTTGCATGAATAACCGTTCCAGCCGGTGCCAGAGCCGGCCTAGCAAGGCAGCCCAAGCTCCGGGATATTCTCTCAAATTTCTCTTCTTAGACTCTCCCACTCTATTTCTCTCAGTGCCAGGCTGGCTAATATTTCGTCGGTCTGCTTTTGCCGCCGCTTCTCTTGCTACCTCTTCTCCTACCAGTTCGCCAGCTACTACCGATTTATATCACGCATGTCGAAATCTACTCCCTGGGGTTAGCAGTAGTACTATAGGACAACCAGTCGATTACTAGTCTCGCTGACAACATGGATCAAATCATCCTTGAGATGGTAACGGAACGCTTTCGCAGAATGCGCATACAAACTCCTGAGATATTTGACGACGGCAACGGATCTCTTACCGCCTCCTATGGAGCAGGTCTGCCGACGCTGCTACTTTCGCTTCAGACCAGCGTCAACGAACTCAAAGAGTCGGTCTCCAGCCTGAACGTAAGTCACAATGAACATCCTGGGCAAATATGGCAAATGGTATCTAAACAAGCAATATATCAGGAGAAATATTCTGCCTTGAGTGCCCAAATGAGCTCTCTAGAGGCAGAACGTCGCGAGGCACTGTCTTCCCTCAAGAGCCAAATATCTTCCCTCAACGACGAAACATCCTCCGTCAAGGCCCAACTGAGTTCTTGGGAAGTAGAAAGGCGTGCAAAATTAGCTGCACAGCACACAAAGGTCAGCAGACTGGAAGCCGCACTCAAGAAGTTGGCTCCACTCGCAGACTAGACCACTCGCAGTATAAGACTCAGACACTTAGCGACTTTCGCACAACAAAATGCGCATCTACGAGACAAATACGGGTTCGAGTGGATCACCGACGACGTGTTTGACGCTAGCAATTGGTCCGCACACCACGGAGACGTACTGGTCAGTAAAACCTCTCCCATATTTGCCTAAATCGATTGCTGATTCCTTCTCCAGCTTGACGCAAACATCGTTCAGGGCGACCAAGAAATCCTTCTCTACAAGGCAAGCTACGGTATCACGGTTCAAACGTTCAAGAAATACCAGCAAGATGCCGGCTTGGTAGCCCTGTTAAAGGCCCACTGCAACATACTACCAAAACTTGACAATGGAGTTCCATTGCGCCTATGACGGGCTTTGCTACAAATTGGGGAAGGAGAAGACTCCGCCGACAAGTTGAGCGAGTGTCTTCACATGGACATCATCGGGACTACCTCCGAAACCCTCAACTCCAGATCTCGTGTGTGTTGACAACAAAGGCCTAAGCAAAAGCAACGGGCTTTGGCTGCAGCTGCCTTTGTCGACGATATTATTGCTACGGGGGCATGAGCAAGAGTACTTGTTCCACATTTTTGACGATGGGATATATAGTCAGGATCAAGTTCACCAGCGGGCTGCTTGTCAGTCGGGAGAGTTCACAAGCTTAGGCCAGCGCCACCATTCTAGCAGATAGGCAAATCTTTCTACGGATTCAGTATATAATAATACTTTAGAATCCCTTCGGCCATCGCTTCGCTGCTTAATCTGCGCCCATAATTGATGAAACAATCCTTTTTCTATCTTCAGAAGCCAACCATAGTTCGATCCAGATACAAAATGTATCGAAGATAAACTGTCGTTCGTAAACTTGATATAAATATAAATATTATTGGAGTCTCGAGCTCAGGCTTCCTTAGTGTATCAATTTTAATTTAATACTCACATTTGTGGTGAATTTGTCTCGTAAGCCAGACGCTGGAAGCAAAGTGGTGAACATCACAGATATAAGCTCTGTTTTCCGTAGTACATTAGTTCCCAGCATGTACGGGGTGTGATAATGACAAAATCTTCGATCGATTATGCCATCTACATTCAGAATTTCTCGCGCTATAACATACGAAAGCCTCTCGAGCTTGTACAAATGGTAGAGTGAATCCAAATTACATATATATGTGTATAAGATATGATACATTTGTGCGTCATGGACGCATTATAAATTATGTTCAATCCATCCTGAGTTTTCGCTCCTGCCTAGCCTTCTTGGTCCCCAGCATGATCTTATTCAGTTTGCCAATACACAGCAAGAAAATGACCGTCAAGAAGACGCTAACACCTGAAGCACCCCAGAAGTGCACTGCTTTGTACTTCCCAGTGATGCCCTCGACGTCCATGCTAAAATATGCCGTGATGAGAGACAACGGTAGGAAGACAATTGTGAATTTGACAAGAGTTATCGACAGAAGGCTCAGCTTCTCGACTGCTTGAACCTCGCGGAAGTTCAGGCGATTGAATGTCTATGGTGGTAGAAGCAGATCAGCCAATCAATGCTCAATGGAGGTAGATGGCAATTGGATAAACGTACCAATGAAATCAACCCTTGTGCCTCTTTTTCGACCTCAGTAATCTCGCCGATAGCAAGATAGGTGATTCTGTGCTTCAATCTCGCGAATCTAGTCAATGCCAATGGACCAAATTTCTTCTCGGGTGCACTAGGTAAGTGCTTGTTTTCTTCCAGTAAACGGGTGAGGACTAGCTCGTAGCTCTGGTAGACTCTCTTAAGGCTTGCTAGGCGACGAACAATGTCGTGTAACTCGTCGATATGGTAGAGCTGCGGATTCTCGTTTTTCTAGTTTCATAACAATTGGTTAGCACTTTCGGGACACTTTCTTTGGTCGCGGAGGAGACAGACCATCATGCTGAGTTTTTTGGTATAAGGATGCGCTCTGTCGACCGTTAATCCCCACGTAGAATACCAGTCGTCAAAAAGGTAGTAAAATAGTAAATCGCATGCTTGATCGGGCTATATAGGAGTATTAGTATCGACTGACCGCTAAAATTAATCTTGGGAACAAACATCCATACCGTCTGCCGAACTATCAAAGCACCGGTTTCCATTGCCAGTTCGGCATTATAGGCATCAGGCGCGTTCGTACTGCGGGACCACCCCGCAGATGATAAACATTTCAGGATCATGCGCATATTCCGTCTGACCCGAGATGTTGTATTCCAGATTTTGTCGTAGGTTGCAACGTCCTGTCGGAACGGCGGAAATGGCTCGTGAAGCGTGATCACCGTATTATCGTCCAGCTTGATCAGCCAGATCCATAGCCGCAGCATACGTGGATGATAGTGATCTTCGTTGAAGTCCTCGGCATTGTCGAAGATATCGTCGACTTGATCGAGGCTGTATTCCTTATTTGCACGGAGTCCTTGGCTCTGGCTTTCGCGTTGAAATTTCTTCTGTGCGTATTGTGATACCCGGTGGCGCTTGGAGTCGGTGACTGGGAGACGGGGAACTGAGCTCTGTCTGTTTTCGGGAGTTATTGGGATATTCGGAGATGTCAAGGGTAGTTCGTCAGTTTGATTTGGAGGGGGCCTCGATCTGAAGAATTTTTTGTACCACGGTTTGGGTTGGGATCTTGTGGATACTTTCTCTTCGTCTGGTGTTTCTATATCCTTGCGCTTTGAGTCATCGGCTTCCTCCGGTGCTATATTGTGTAGGGTATTGACTCCGAGGATCAGGACTGACAATAATGCGATCAAATAGGGCGGTCAGTCCAAGTCTTCTACCATGAATACGGATTTCATCCGACTCGCTCATGGTTTCTTACAGCGTTCGTCGTATTCAATGGACGACCAATGCCACATCTTTCGCACGATCTCGAGATTCCCTCTTCCCCTGGGAGAGGTCAAACTCGCTCGGGTGCGTGACGATATGCCATATTTCTCTAAGAGACCCTGTGAATGTTTTCAACCAGACGGCGATATTCCAGTTTAGCTGACATAGGCCTTTTGAACTTCGCCAGTGCGCTTGAACAAAATAGGCTTACATTGACAAACTCCCGCTGTTCATAGGCATCGAATACAGCGCTGGACGGAATCTCAGTTCATCAGTATTCATATTCTCATTTAGATTTTATACCTCAATATGGAATCACTAAGCATGCGGCACATTATAGATAGCGAGACCATGTGGTATCTTACATCCATCTAGCATTAGGCGGTTTCGGGCACTATACAGACGAACAAGTTAGCTTCAAGAGCCTGCGTCTCAGTCGTAACATCTCATAATTTTATAACATACCTGGCCGATATTCTTCCAAGACTCCTTGAGAGCGCCAATCTGGTTCTCGCCTATATCCC